GCATTCCACATTTCTGCACGCTACTCTCAAAAATGGAGCACAGTTCTAAGCTATTTCAATTCAGCATTTTCTCCAATCCAATTACTTCCAGGAATCCACCCGCTCTGTTTTTTAATTAAGGGGGGAAAAAGAGTTTGTCTTTTCCTGACAGGCCAAAGCAAACGCACAAAAAATGTTTCAAAGAACAATCTGTGATATTAGGCAGGCACTTTTTATCTGATCAAAAGAAGTGCTTTTTAAGTTATGACTGATATTGTGGACCTCTTTACTTGTGATCTAGTTCTGTTAATGATATGGGCTGTTTGGTTTTGCTTGCATCCCACTAGGGTTCTTTTGAGAGACCTTGTAGCTTGTTATCCAAAACGCTTATTTCTAAATCACTGAACTCCACCACTCCAGCCAAAGGCAAGAATTCTTGTACTCCATTAGGCAGCAATTACGTAAACAGAGTTATCAGATTTTCTTTTGTATCTGCACCATCCTAAAATGATTGTATTTGAAGCTTTCACACAGAGTAACACTTTTCCCAGGATTAGAAGTTTCATTATAGAGAAAAAATTTATTTTCTCCTAGAAAAGAGACACAGTGATGGGCCATTATTTTTAATGATTACAAACAGTATCCAAAATGATTCTCCTAAACTAGACAAATAAAGCAGATTGCAGACTGGTCTGTCACAATGGCTAGAACTTTACAGTAAATACAGAAATCTGCAAGTTTGGGAAGCTATATACTCTAAGGGCATGGCTACACGGGCAAACTGACCAGCAAATCTCCCTGTGAGGATGATCTGAATAGAATTGAAGATAACATTTTCTAAGTTATTCCACTTCCAAAGCAAACTAGTCTAGAGATGCACATTAGAGCTTTGACATCACTGTTACGGTGTAATGGAACCAGAGACTGTCTACAAACCTGTCTTGTCTGAATTGCAGAGTATTGTCTCCTTTTCCTTGGTTCCAGGGCTGTGCCTCATCCATACTGAGATCATGAACGGCTCTTTTAGATTGACTGTAACAATGCCATCTGGAATCTTCACAGCTTGAGTGCCGTTGAATTCAAAGACCTGGTCACTGTCATGGCCGTTGTCAGTAGGAAGTCCTATTGTCCAGTTCGTAGTGCTACTTGGAGGAGGAAGCAGCTCAGCCGTGCCAGAGGAAGCACCTACAATAAAAGTATACTAATAAAAACTACCCTGGAGGAAAGGGAAAAAACTGCAGCTGGCTTCAAACCAAGCTGTTTGTTTTTATGAGTGCTAACCTCTTAGCATCAGCTGTGTTAGTGTCATGCACCAGGCAATTTTGACTTTAATTGCAGTAGAATTAGACAACGTCAGGCATATCTGACAGCTTTAAATTATGTGCTCCAGACATTTAACCTCCTAGGAGATGCTCAGTCTAACTGAGAATCCTGATTCCCTAACTATGCTTATCTGAAGGCCTTTTCCTTTCTTATACTAGAAGTTATCAGACTAGAGGCATTTTAACTTTCTTAATTCACATCAGGACCCTAAGGTAGGTCATATTCTTCTGTTCTTACTCTGTAACAGTATCGTGGCCCAGTCAGGGAGGGCTGACTGAGGCTCCCCATCAGAGCCTAAGTGAGTCAGAGGGATTGATGTTTCCTTCATACTCCAAAGTGGGGAGTATCTGATGTCAACATGAAGTACACCAGACTTGTACATTGGATTATTAGTGGCAACAGCTTAAGAGCTGCCAGTACCTCACAGTTACTGGTAATAATTCAGAAACACGGATTTTGCTGGTTAATATTTTCATTAGACAATAAGACTGCAGCTGCTATTTATACAGTTAAAACACTTGCACAAAGGACCAGGTTCAGCCCTGGAGCAAGCAAGCTAATTGCCATCACTGGGAGTTGTCCCAGTTACTTCAGGCCTGAACTTTGTGCAGTGGTTTAATGTCTACAACATATGGTTTGATATAGCTCTAGGGCCAATAAAGTAGAGACTGAAAGAATTTAATTTTGATGCAATATAACACTAATATAGACTGGAAAACCTAATGCGTCATGTTCTGACAAAACAGCAAAGAAGCCTTTACATCAACAGGATTCCTCATGTAAAAATGACACCATTATAAAACATGTATTCTAAACCAGTTAAGTGATAAAGTCCAGAGCATGTTGTCTTGGGAGAAGGACAAAATCCTACCAGTCACTTGAAGCCATTCATGTGTCTAGTAAACTTAGTTTCACTGAAAAAGTTTCAATAGAGCTTTCCCATCAGAGGTTTGATTTGTTCTGAACCTATATGTCATTGGTATTTAGCCTTGCTGATAAAGAGGGTTTGGAAACCCAGGCTGCTACCAGCATATTTTCTGAGGTGCCAACTGCTCACACCTCCCACTGACTTCAACTCAAGTTGCAGTTAAAGGTGCCAAGTATAACAGAGAACCTGGGCCAGGACTTCTGTTCCTTCATTCTGCATTAAGGGACTCGTGCATTTTAATCCTACTAATCATCATATATACGAATGCTGAAGTGCCCAAGGCAAGTAGAGCATGGATTTGGCCGGTTCAGATAAAGTCCCTGATTCTGGGCCACATTTTCTCTACTTTATAATCAATCCCTTTTTCACCACAGGTGTCTTTGGCAACACCCATCACATTCTTTCTATGTCTAGAAATATGAGCAGTTTCCAACAGCCATACCCTTGAATGCATCCTTTCAATTACTGAGAATTTATCTCCAATAAGAGAAATTGCTGTCCCAAATGGGGAGACTAGAAAAGGAACCCGTAGCGATCTTCTCTGTTGTAACGGGTATTTGAAAACACTGACTCGCCTTTTTTGTTTGTTAGTCAAAAGTTTGGGGAGACTAATACACCAATACAAAAATCAAGTGCCCATCAGTTTGATGCGTTTCCTAGTCCTGGCTAGGGAAGAGATATGCAAAGAAAGATAAGCAACAGAAAGACTATTTTACTCAAACCAACTGATGTAGTTTTACCGCAGAGTCTGTGAAGGGATTTCTCAGAATAGGTATCTCTGTCACAGCCTTTTCCAATGTGGTTGGTCTCCAGTTCAACTGTTGCTTGAATTGAAGTTATGGGCTCATCACAGGTCTCCAAGTGAATATTGGGGAAGAGAGCTAGAGAACCAGTGCCAGGTTCATATTCTATTCTTTTACTCCAACCTGTATATTCACCAAAAGAAATAGGATTAGAGATCTTTGGTAGTACACTGAAGTAAAAGTACAGCAACTGGTGAAACAAAATAGGGAGGAAATTGAACTAACCTTGCCAGCCAGGCTTGCATGTAGGCTTAATGCTTATCTTCACCAATACGTCCTCAGCAGCTCTTTTCTTCCCACAGTCATATGCAGTCACTGTAAGCTTATATTGGTGTTCTTTGCCATAGTTTAATTTTTCTGTATTTTTGATGTAACCTGGAAATTAACATTAAATATATGCATCTTTTAGACTAACAGCTGCTTTATAGGTATTTTTACATGTACTAAGACTCAGAGCCATATGTTCAACCTAATTAACCCTTCTCTATTTATGTAGGTTTTAAATGCTAAATGACCAACCCAGCTATTTAAGAACTACTTAAATCCAGACGATTAGCACAAATACATACAGCAACAGATGCAATCATGTCACTTTGTCTCTTTAAAGCTTAATATGTCAGTGTAAATCTTTTAATAAAACCCAAGACTTAACTGACCCCAATCAAGTACTAGGTCCTTTAATGCATCCCACCAAGCATTATATTTAAAACATTGGGGGGGGGGGGGGGGGGGGGGGGTTGGGGGTTGGTAAAAGTGGCTGCACCCTTGAACAAAGCAGGCTTAAGAAGAACAATAAGTGCTGCGTCCAAGGAGGCTGACAGAAAGAATTTTCCAATTAAATAAAAATTTAGAAGCAAGCAAACCTGAAGCCACTGCCACCGAGTGCAACACCAGAGGAAGAGCTTCATGTGATCCCCACAGACACCTCTACATCTCACGAACTGTTCACAAGTACCTCAATTTTTAATGAACTTGGCCCCAAACCTTGCCATCAATGATCCACTTTCCAAACCAAAGAGTGACATAACAGAATGCATAATAAAATATAGGCTTTTTTGTAATCTATTTTTATAACATGAAAGGCTAGCCTGGACATGCAAGGCAATTTGTGTTTCTGAGAGCAGCTGTACCAAGGCAGATGCTTGTAAAGGAAGCACACTCAGGCATCCAAGTGGAGGACATGCCTGGAGTGTGTTCCAAAGGAACTATACCAGGGGTAGGCAATGTTTTTGGGCAGTGCCAAAAAACACCTGCAACCTCAACTCATAAGCTGTTGGTGTGCCAGGAGTGGATGGCATGGGAACTGTGAGGGGTCTGATCCTTGTTGTGGCAGCACAGACCTGGCCCCTTCCCCATCATCTGCCCAGAGGCGTACATGCCAAGCAAAACGCCTTCATGTGCCACACACTGGCACCCATGCTGAGGGTTGCCGAGCCCTGGACTATACCATCCCTAGGCACAAGCAATCGTGGCCGCAATCTATGTGCATGAGGAAGGAGCTAAGCTAAAAACTAAAAAAACAGGAGAGTACCTCAGACTTCAAGACGACACAGAAAAAGAGAACAGAGAGAGGAAGAAACAACTAGAACTTGGTTAGCATAGTAAAGTATATTAGCACAATGAGAGTCTTCCGATTCATAGATGCTAGAGATGGTTTGAGAGAGATGAAACAGCGAGGTTCGTATCATCAAGAGATCCTGACTTTTACTGTACAAAAGTTCAAATGGGAATCTGAAATGGTAACAAATATGTATCTGCTCAGTTATACTGTGGACTAGATTACAAATAGAGGGATTGAAGTATATTTCTTACTAACTTGTTTGACCGTGACAAATTTGAAGATAATGGGCCTTTATACATGTGCTCTGGGAGTGGGGTGGGGAGGGTGCTTTAATTAATTAGAGCGGGTCCAGGAGCTGCTCTAATTAAAAAGGACCTGGAGCATCTTGCATATCAGTGTCCCCGTGCTTAAAAATGGCAGCGGAGGCACTTTAACTAAAGCTCATTCGACAAGCTTTAGTTAAAGCGCCCCTGCCACCATTTTTAAGCACGCAGATGCTGATACACAAGACACCAGAGTCTGCTGGAGTGCAGCAATTACCACACTCCAGCAGACTTGATTAATCAAGTCTGCTCTGATGCACTGTAATTACAGCACATCAGAGCAGCCTTGATGCTCATGTATAGGTGGCCCATATTCCACAGTGACCAATTAGAGCAATTTTTCCCCTTCCCCAATTCTTACCATCTTTGTCGATTGCAAAGGGAACATCTGGAGTTACAATTTCATAGCTGCAGATCTGGCTGAACTGGGGTGAACAATCTGCATCTACAGCTTCCACTTTCAGGATGTTGTCATATCTCTTCCCTTCAATGACTGTTGCCTTGTAAGACTTCTCTTTAAACACTGGAGCATACTCATTAACATCATTCACCTGGATATGTACTGTTGCTCTGGAGACAAGACAAAATAATCAGAACAGGAATATTTTGCAAAGCTTCCATTCATTAGGTCTTCTAAGGAAGAGCTGAAGAATGTCTCGTTGTGCCAATGACTGAGCAAACTCCATAGTGCAAATCTATCCTTCTGCTAAGGCAGGATATAGTTCCCCCTCCCAAGAGAGTAATAAATATTTTGCATATGACACTTGGCATCTTGTCTTATTAAGATGCAATAACAATTACAAAGTTAGGCTTCTGAAGGAAAGAGCTTTCTGAGGGGAAAGAGCTACTAAAGATGCAGACGATACACCTTAAATATTTTACAGTGATCTATAAATCCAAGCAGTTTAGGTCTCTCACACCTTTCTCCTTACGTATTTGTCACACCTTGTGAGTAAATATAGAATGGGAAAGATCCAGTTTTCTTCATCAGCAGAGAGAAAAGTACAAGATGAAACGCATGCAAGAGACTATAGAGAAAAACATTTAATCAATGCTGCCCTCTTGGAGGAAGCGAAAGATCTTTTTTTTCTTAAAAAAGAGATTATTTCAGCCCAGATCCCCAGCAAATTCAGTGCAAGACAATTTGACATTTCACAGATTTCTTCAGTGCATCAGCTGACCAAAACAAGCTCCACTGTTACATATCAGCTAAGGAGACTCAGTGCAACACACTCAATAATAGATGTGTTATCACAGTAACACATTTTAGCACCAGGAAAAAATGACCAGCTCTGTACCATTCATGCAGCCTGGCCAGCCAAAAAGAGTCTGGAAGTTAAGCAACCATTAATTGATGCTCCAGACACCAAGATTTCTAGAGCTGCTGTTTTCTCACCAATTTATTGAGTTTCCTCAGATTGCTGACTGGTGCTCCTTTAAGTGCAAACTGTTAATTCCTTTCTGTTAGGCCCATATCCTTCCTATAACCCCATGAACTGCAGCAAGCAGGAAAAAATGGCAGGCATCCACAGGTTCTACAATGTGAATACCTGCTGCACAGAAGGAGTCACAGGAATTGCACAGAGGAAAACCATACTTTCACACGGTATGTGAAACTTTGTTGTCATCTTTCCATGTTGACTGTTTCCCCAATAGTACAATCAAGTGCTGATAGAAAGTTTATCTATAGGCCACTGTCCTTGAAGCACATGACCCTATGAAGTTGCCTTCCAAGTTGGCACATCCTTTACATTCTAGATGGCATAAGGCTAGAAAAATAGCAAGGATATATTAGTCAATATGATGCCAGCCCTGGACTAATGGTAGTCTGCCACATGCTGTACAGATGTTTTTTTTCAAGCTGTTGCATGGTTATTTTTCAAGTGGCTTGTTAGAGCAATTTTTACGATGTGGTTTTCCATTTTTCTCTATATAAACGGCAGATTGCTTTGTTACCAACCTTTTGATCTAGGAGGGAAGAAATCTTACACCAGCAAGTTTCTTTTTTCCATTCAGGCCTCTTGGAAGCAATAGAAACCTGTGTTCTTCCTGTTCCTCAACACTAACACCTATTAGAGAAATGTGTCTTGGACCCTTCTTACACATGATCTTCCTCAGAGATCCATATCTATATCCATATAGGATTTTAACAGTTTTATCAGTATTCTAGCTGCCTGTACCACCACATTATTAGTTTTCCTGATGTACTTCCAGAGGTGTCAAGGGCTAATGCAATGCCAGCTACAACCTGGAGGCAAAGACATCAAAATAATTCCTTTTCAATTCACTGCCATTTGCATTAATATCACATGTGGGCCTTTCAGTATCATCACTTGGTTTACATGCATTTGAAATATAAAGCACATAAACCACATCAGGCAGAGGACTACTTAAACTGAACTTCCTCTCAGCCACCCCCAGATTTACTTACTTGTGGGATTTTTTTGCATTAGCTCCGTCTGGTCCCTTTCCACAATCATAGGCCTGTATGGTGAACGTGTAGTCTTTCTGTAGTTCACAGTCAAGTTTTTCTTTAGAGCGTATTATTCCCTCACCTGTGGATTTATCCACTACCACAGCCTCAAAGGGGACATTCTGCCCGTGAATCTTAAAGCCACAAATCTCACCTAGAGATTCAAAGCAACAGAGGTTAGAACCAGTCAATAACTTTCATACATTTTCAAAAATAAATGACTCAGTATTTTGCAGCCAGGGATTTGTGAGGGTCTGTGGATAAAGCAAGAGCACTGTGCTTTAAAATGGGTGAGTTCTGGGAACTTTAGTAAAAAAGAAGCATACGTCTGCCTTCCAAGCAACTGGTTTACTTTGCATCCATTCATGCAGGAATACAAAAGAGAAAAAGAGAAATGTAGACAGGCATTTCACAGGAGTACTTGAGATAGCTCTAGGGTAAGAGTAGATCTTATGAGAGCATACAGCCAAGGCCACTGGTAATATCTTCTATGCCAAGCTACTGGGAATAGCTGGGCAGCTTGTTTATTTTGACCAGAGCAGAAGGTTAAAATGCACAGTTACAAGTTGAGAGATGAAGAAGCATCCGGTATAGGTTCAGCACCATAATTACAGAAATTCTGTCAACAGATCAAAAGAACAAAGTCTTCCTGTGCAATGTACCTGGCTAAAATTAGGGAATCAAAATAAACTACTGAATGAGAAAGGTAGAAATACCAACTTTTCAGGCATCCATTTCAACAGCTATCTGCTAAAATAGTAGGGACAATGTTAATCATAGGTTTGCACACGGAAGGATTTATTAGACTTTCTTTTCTGGTCAAACGCTTCTTCCTAACAGACCTGAAAGAGAGGCCTACATTACCTTAGGTTAATGACAGCTAAGGCCAAGTCTATGTTACAGACTTCCACTGGTACAGCTGGTTAGCCAGAGGTACGGAGCGCAATTCCCAACTGACACAAATGTTCCAACTGAAGTGGTTTGACAGATATGGTTATACCAGCAAAACTGCACTTTTTTACTGAATAGCTGTTTAAACTTGGGAGCTGGTGTTTTTTCTTTACGGCACAATTTTGCCAATCTAACTGTGTCCACACTAAGTGCTTTGCTGATATAAATATACCTATAAAATCCCTACACCAGCAAAGTACTCCAAATGTAGATATGACCTAAGACTATTTAGAAACTGGATTACAAAATGGATTTAATGTTACCAGACAAGCACTTATTTAAGAAAGTGTATTGTAGGAAGTGTGGTCTCTTTTAGCAATCTATATTACTTTATAAAACGTGTGGCAAAACATAACATGTTCCAAAAAAAATGTAAAATACCAATGAAAAAAAGCTAAAGATGCTACCCTACCCCACAAGTTCAACAGGATCCATAGAGTCTACAATAGAACCCCAAACAGTTCAAATGGATGTCTGATTTACAGATATTTCTAACCAAGGGTTTGGTTACATAACGGTTTTTATTGATATATTTTAAAATAGAAAAGAACTGGGAGAATAAAATGGGGCAAAAAAGCATGACAGGATCTTCTGTTTAAGTGCTGATTCCCCATTTCATAACCAAAGTTAGTGGGTTAATATTTATAAAAGGGATAGAAAGAACCCTTTATCACCTTCTTTGGTGACTGTCACCTCAAAACTCTCTAAAGGGAGAAAAGATAAACCCAAGTCAGTAACACAGGAAAGACTTAAGAGGGAGCAAAAAAGGAAAAAAAGTCAAAGATGCACACATTACATAGAAAAGCTTTGGATAAATTGCACAAACAGATTCCAGTGGTCAGTTGCTGCAACTGTTACAAATCTAGAGCTTCAGTCTCTTTAAAGGTTATTTTATCTCGGTCTTCAGTTTACCACTCCCTAGACAATTTCTCAGGTTAGGTATTTGCTTAGTTTGTTAAAGGCTTCATCCTTGTCTTCTGGGGTACTGACAATTGGATAAGGGATGCTAAGCAGCTATTTTCTGAACTTCTATACTTTCAGAGAACCGCCCATCAAATTGAAGCCACACCAAACTTAGTTTTAACTCAGTCTCACTGAGGGATACATATGGAATACTTTAAAGATTTTTTTTTTTTAATCAAATAAAATTTCACCTTCAATGCAGTTTCACAGTAGGCATTTCTCTCAGCTTGGACAATGGAAAACATTCTTGAGTTTTACTTTCGTTTTTTATGCACTAGTGTAATGTTCCTATGTACAAGTTGCAAATACAGTACAAAGGGGGTGTGTGTGTGGATGTGTGTGCGCGCGCACACGCATGTCTTGGAAACATTCTTATTGACTGCTCGTTACAAAAATTTAAATTCAGCAACAAATTTAACCTGAGGATTTTCCTTTAATTTAGGATTATACTAAGCATTCACGTTAACCTTAAGCAGCCTGATCAACATAAACAGGGTTTAACTTAGGAAAATCATTTTCTTTGCCTCCTGGAGTATGCCACTTTTCCAGATTTAATGAACATCTAATAATTCCCACCTCTTTTACACAAGCACTTAAATACTTGAACGTTGGGCATGCAATTTCTAGTGATAAGACAGAGCTGACAGGTTTTATCTCAACAGAAACCACAGTGTTATTAAAACCTTGAACTTGTATTTGTTACCTGCTACTTAACATTCCACTTACATTTTCTTAACTACCATCGTCTCTGACCCAAGATGCAGTTACAGCTAAGCAAACTTTATGCTTAAAATGCATATCAAATAGAACTACTGCTCATTCACATTTATTTGAAAAGGGTGCAAATTAGTAAATTCTCCATTCTAAATACAGGCTCTTGGGGGGGAAAAAAAGATAATTCCTTAATGTGCTAAACAAAAATAAAAATGTTATAAAGTAAAAAGCAAGATACTGGATTAATATTGAAGCATGAATATCCTTCAGTGTGAAGGACAAATTACTGCAGAATGGGTAATTTTTGAACAGTGGGCCCTTGTTTTAAAAGGATGGTTTCTGAAACCAGCCTTTCACGAGGTTATTCCCAAAGCCTATTTAAAGCAATCTTATAGGTTTATAATTGACTCCTTATTTTATTGCACCAAATGTAAGTCTCCTACAGCATCCATATAAAGAACCTGTTTCACCATTTGTTTACACAGCATATAAATATAGTCTTGAATATTACGGTGTTTTAATAATAGAATCATTCAAGAAAACCACACGCTGCCCAAATTCCTGGCTAACAGCACCGAGTGATCAAAAATGACTATAAACACAACTGCAGGCTTTTAAATACTGAATGTGCCCTACTCTTATAAAGTTAGCCTTGGGAATCAGACATTCCAAGAAAGGCATTAAACTGAGAAAATACACAGATATAGAGGGCATGATAGCAGAAAGCCTAATAATGGAACTTAGGGGGAGGAGGGAGAAGTGTGTTAAATAATGTGACAGATGCATTTTTTTTGCTGCTCAGTTCTTGGTCATTTAAACTGAACTCTAACCCTGGCATCAGTGCCAACCTTTGCTGCTAGGCAGTTCAAGTATTACATTCCTTGGCAGCCCACCATCACAGTAAGTCACCATTAATCTGCCTGATAAATACCCATGAGCCTTCAGATGCTCCTTAGGGTATTAAAGCTTCTGCTCAAGATGTACTACAGATGAATTCTTACCAGATGTTTCTCAGAACAAGAATATACGAAATACATTTACATTTTCCACTTCAGAGGAACGAGATCTTATTGAAACAAAAAGCCCACACACAAAAAAGCCAGGGTGCAAAAAGCCTTTTTGTCATTACAAGGGAAGGTGGTTCATATGTCAAGAAGTTAAAGCGCATAGATGAAGCATGCACAGACAACAAAACTGACATGAATAAGAAATGTGCAACTCTCAACTGGAGCAAGGTTTGTAAGACCCATTAGCTCCATTCCACAAAGGGTCTCTATCATAAGAAAAGATAAAAGAAATCATTTTAATTCCCCTAAAGTACAAAGTATTTTAAGAATTTAGGCTTCCTCTCTGCCCTTCAAAACAAATCAGAGGCATCATTACAGAGCAAGGTCAGGATGGATAAGACGGCAGACAGATGGCTTTTCCAGTAAAAGGACAGTATACATCTTAATGTCAGCTACAAGCTGCATTGATTTTTCCAGCAGGTCAAGGAACCTCATACATCTAGGACTTTTAACAAGATTAAACAAATCTTGCCATTGAATTTCTTCATTCTCACAAAGAAGTTCAGCATCATAAAATTAATCTTGTGATAAACTTCTTAATATAAATGGGTATCATGGTATTCTATACATACACTATACTGCACTTCATTTTTTTTTTTTTGCCTGAACTTGCTCATTTCATTCTGGAGTTGAGGGAAATTAATACAAGATGCCTCTGTCCTTGACATATCCAGATGGGGACAGAGATCAGTTAGGCAGGTTGGATATTAGTTTGTCATTAGATACACTTTAATCTCTGTAGTTTAATACAATTCAGATTAGACTAGATTGCATCAAGCAGAGGGCCAGTCCTGCTAGAGTTAAGACTGAGAAAATAACTTCTGTTTTATGTTTCTAACACAGGCTGACCTCTGCACCTTATGCTGGCCTAAAAATATCGAATAATCCTTATGGAAATGTTTACTACCATCTTATCATACATTCTGAGGAGGGTGAAGGATTTCTTTTTTGGGGGGGTAGGAAGAAGGGTTACTCATTTTATACTGAAATGCACCGCAGCAGTATAAAAGCAGGTTACTACAAATTCATTTTTAAAATACCTGAACTAGGGGTCATAAAATATTTGGTGCCCAATGTCTTCTCAAAATACCAAAAATCAGCCATCCCATGCCAGCAACCTTCCAAAGAGACAAAAAGTATGAATACTTTCTAACAAGTTCTGGTTGCACCATGGTCTATTGCTTAGACTTCAGGGTGAAGAACTCCTATGAAAGCTCACCCAAGCACAGAGGTAGGCAACGTTTTTTGGTCAGAGTGCTGAAAACCCCCACAATGCCTACCTTGGAAGGTGCCAGAGTGCCGGCATGCCAGAAAAACAAAATGAGGGCAGGGGGTACACGGCAGGATGCCCTGCGTGTGCCCCTTGCCCCCCACCCAAAGCCCCTGCCCCCCAGCCCTTCTGCCCATCGTGCCCCAGCGTGGGCTCCTGGCTGGCAGCAGCTACCCAGAGCCAGGGTTGGCTGCATCTGGGAGGCTCCAAACAGCTGCGCCAGGCTCCAGAGCCCCGGCATCAACTCCCTACCAGCATGTGCACCCGCGCCTTGGAGCGGGCAGTGGGAGAGGCCTTGCTGCAGCAGCCCAGAGCCCAGGCTGGTTGCAAACAGCTGCGCCGGGCTCCGGAGCCCAGTCACCAGCTCCGTGCCGGGAGCTGGGGAGAGACCAGGGTTGCGCTGCCTCAGGCCCCTCCCTCACTGCCCACTCTGAGACACACCTGCATGTACCAGTACAGAGCTGATGCCTGGGCTCTGGAGCCCAGTGCAGCTGTTTGGAGCCTCCTGGATGCAGCCGGCCCTGGCTCTGGGTAGCTGCTGCCAGCCACAGAGCCCAGGCTGCTCCCAGCAGGCAGCCGGGGATTTGCAATCGCAGCAGGTAGCGGGGATGCTGCAAGCTGTGCTGGGAGCAGCCCAGGCTCCAGCAGCTACCCAGAGCTGGGGCTGGCTGTGGCGTGCTGAGCAAAATGGCCTCACGTGCCATGCCCAGCACGTGTGCTGCAGGTTGCCAACCTCTGCCCTAGAATGTCTCCCAAACTGACTAGCTATTAAAAAGTAACCCAAGGTTTTATTGTACAACTGGCAAAGGCATTTTATTTATTTGCATATGTAACAGATAAATTAAAAAATCCTGACCAAAGTGTGTCCTAGATTAATTCTGTGCTACAAATAAATGCAAGCATTCCCATTAGCCCAGCCCAACCAAATGCACTCTCAGGTTCACACTGCTAATCGCCTTCAGCTGTGTCCATACCATACTGAACTGCATTATCAGAATTTAGCTCGTCTATGCTCTGCAAAATAACTGAGTTAAATAAGGCCTAGATGACTAACTTAGAAACTGGCCCACGTATTCACATAAACTTATCTAATTATGTCCAGTAATTAGATATGACAAGGCCAGTGCCCATTTCTGTGACAAGCCATGCCATTCATCTTCTCAACCTATCATTTCAGAGCCACTATCCATCCAGCTGAGTGCTGCATTATGCATCAGCCTGCTGTAGACAACACGTCAGCACGGTTCCCAGCCCTGAACAAACAAGGGCTGGCAGTGCAGCATGAAGATACAGCATCAGCAGTCACCCACTGGAACATGTGAGGTATGTACATCTCCCAGCAGAGGCTGACAGAGGTTTGATATTTTTTAAGAGAATAAGTAGAAATACTGCACAAGTGCACATGCATTCTCTAAACACAAAGATCCCTAGCCCCCACAAAAATCCTGGAGTCCTGTTTATTACTGTGGGTGAAGCCAAGTCATGTAGTTTAAGAATGACTCGCCCTTAGCTTTTTTTTTTTTTTTTTTTTTTAAACTTAAACACATTACTCCAGCAAGGATGGTCTCAAACAGTTCACCACTTTAAACACATTTGGGGTTTTATCAACACTGCAAACTCAAACATGTCATGGGACCTGGTGACCCCATGGTTTGATCTAACCATGAAAGTCGTTTCTTACTGCACTGGA